ATACCAATCCTTTTCTCAAATATAGGACCTGTTATTTAACCCATAGTTGGGGTATATGAGAAGAGATGGATTCATATCTTTCTCAAGGTCATTTGTGTGTAAGTGAATGTAATCAATAAGTGGAAGTCAACTATATTTTCAACATATCCTCAGTTGATCACTTGTCTTTCTCTTGTCAACTCTCTTGACTTGATTTTCTTTAAATTTCTACACAAGCACATCATTTGGTGCTTTCTTTTTTTCTTAGTCCCTGTGTGTATATGTTTTTTTTTCTACGAGATCGTATTGTGAAATCTCTATCCAAAGTTTATTTCTTCACTGAAGTCAATCAAAAACCTGCTGATAACTAAGCAATCTAATGCAGGCATGGACATCAAATGCAATTCGATAATTTTTCAACACCTACTTATGTCATACAGAAAAAAATGAAACATCTTTATCTTAATCCGAAAGATGAAATATTATTTTTTTTTTTCAGACTAGCATTCTCAGTATTTTAGCCAGTATACTCTGTCCTTCTTCCGGTGTATATCATATCTTCAATTCTTCATGGAGTTTTAAACAGAACCTTTTATTTCATCCAGGTGAGTATGTTCTTCTCACCCTTTGCTTTTGTCCATTACATACATTGTGGTATGCACTGCTCAAGCTGGTTTACTCCTGCACTGATTAGATCAGGGGTTCAACTTGTGGGAAGTATAATGGTTCATAAGACCCTATACAAAGGTCAGTGGAAAAGTTCATAGGCTGACAAAGATATTCTTATGGAATGTGATCAAATGAAGTTTATTTTTCAACATAATCCCTCTTGCAGTCCACACACTTCTTCCATCAGTGTTGCAGTGCTTGGATCCAATTGATGAAGAAGCTTTCATCCTGTTGGCCAAGAAAATCACCAACAGCAGGTATGATGTCATCATCACTGCGATACTGGCTTCCAGCCAAGTGTTTTTTTGATGTTGGGGATCAGGTGGGGCCAAATCAGGAGAATAGGCAAGGTGATCAACTATTTCAAAGTTACAGTGGTGCACAGCAGCCATTGAAACCAAGGACTTGTGTACTGGAGTATTATCCTGATGAAGCAAGACCCTTTTGTCAGTTTTCCTGGGTGTTTAGTCTTGATAGTCTTTTGTAACTGCCTCAGCAAGTTGGCATAGTACTCTCCATTGATCATGTGACCCTTTTAAAGATAATCAATAAACCCAATGCCTTTTGAATCTCCCAAAACTAAAGCCATCACTTTCCCTGCAGATAAAACAACCTCAACCTTCTTTGGAGCAGATGAAGAGTGGGTGTTTCTACTGCATGGATTGTCTCTTTGTCTCTGGCTCAGTAATTAACCCAACACTCATACTGGGTTTGGAATCATTCAAGGAAACCAGCTGAATCTGCCTTAAACAATGTCAGATTTTCCCATGATGTGATCAGCCTGTGCACTTTTGATCAGGTGTTAGAAGATATGGGACCCACCAAGCAAAAACCTTTGTTGTGCTAAGTTCATTGTGCAGAATATTCTCAACTCTCTCACAGCATACGCAGATAGTATTGGCTATTTGATTTATAGTCATTCACTTGTTATACATCACCATGTTGTGAATGCTGTCAATGTTTTCCTTAGTGGTGACAGTTGTAGGATGTTCAAACCTTGAGACATCTTCAAGACTACCTTCCTTTCCTAAATTCAGCTGTCCACTTTTGCACTGTTGATAAAGCTAGAGTGTCACCCCTTAATGTAGAAAACCATGCCAGCATGAATGTCCTTGATGGCTAAACTCTTTTTCTGCAGGTACTTGATAATACCACAATGGCAAATTTTATCCATTTTCAAGAGAAGTCACTACTAGTTATTTTTGAAGTCTTCTATGAACAGTCAGTTTACCTGGAAAGAAACAATGCAGCTATTACTAAGAGGAGTTGAACATTATTTACATTATTCGCACTATTGTCCTCATCTTTGTCACCATATTTATTACGTTTCGGCTGCTGTATGCTCTGGCCTTCTTCTTTGGCCAAAACGTTGTAATAAATATGGCAACAAAGGTGAGGACAATAGTCCAAAAAATGTAAATAATGTACATAATACTTCATCTCAGAAATATAGACAGACTAAGAAGACTTGAAATTAATGTGTGCAAGATATCAACTCAAGCATTACTCTTTTATAGTCAGCCCATGAAATTTTCAGCTCACTCTCTTATAATAGATGTCATTTCAGCAACAATTATTTTTACATTCTTATTTAGAAACAGTTGCAAATAGTATAAGACCAAGCAGGTTTTTAGTTTCTTTGTACCACAAGAGTTATGATAAATCACTTCAGGCAAAGAAACTACTTGAAGGGATACAAATTCATTTGAATCCACAAAAAAATATACATACATTTTTTTTTAATTGAGTTCAGTAGAGTCACTAAGTCACAAGGGGTTACTGTGTGTGGAAGAATTAGAAAACAGAAAACATTACTAACGACCGGGAACAAAAAGAGTAATTAGAAGAGGAGTAGATAGTGATTGACACTGCATTTAAATTTTTGCAGATTGCATAGAGCTGGAAGGGAGTTCCACAAGTGAGAAGTGCAAGAAAAGAAACTGTTAGCATAGAATTTATGGTTACATCTAAGTGTAAGTTGATGAGATCTTGATGTCAGTCTTGTACTGCACTTGAATTCAAAAAGTCTAGGTACCATAGCGAAATAATATTGCCGATTCTTCTTTGAATTTTATTAAGGAACTCAAGGTAAATAGCAGAAGCACGGGACCATATGTTTCAGTAATATTCTAAGCAGGGACAAATGGTAGACTAATGTAAGATAGATTCTGGAGAGAAAAATTGTCTTGCACAATACAGTGAATCAACTTTCTTAGCAGTTAACCTAGCAATGGATTCAATATAGTCTTTTCACTTCATGTCAGCCAAGAACATTAGCCTGAGAAAATGCAACGAATTACTTTCCTGGAGGTTTGGTTGAAGCTTTCGACAATTTCATAGAATCTTTGCTTCTGCAATCTGAACCAAACAAAGTTAACCTCCTCACCAATAATTATCTATGACTACAATGTAGAGTGTGACTCAAATAATGATACTCTAGGGAAGAGTTTCTCAATCAGTGCACCTGGGAACACTAATGTGCCATGAAAGGTAGTCATGTGTGCCCCAAGTTAACAGAAGAGTAATTTATGAATTAATTTTATATTTAAAAAAATTTTATTTTTAAAAAGCTACAGACGCCAAGCACATTCCATGTCTAAGTAAAGTCTTTGTTAGTTGATATTTTAAACTGGATGTTAAATTCCTTAATCTTTAACTCTTTGAAACCAAGTGGATGGTATACAGGCCACTGTGTAAAAGTGCATATACCCAGAGTCATGGACAGCAAGGACACAGGGTGGGAGATCTGTACTCATCAGGGGGTCACTGTTTAAAGGATGAAAAAGGAGTGGATAATCCTTTTTCTTTTGACTTCTTCAAGGGATTTAAATCAGTTATTATCAGACTCTCTAAAAAAAAACAAAAAAACAAAAAAAACAAAAAAAAACAAAACACACAAACAAATTCTTCATAAATCCCTTTATATGAAAACTGTACTGCTAATATTCTTCAGGAATGCTAAGCAAAATGTTCATATTTTAAAATTTTACTACAAGTACACCCCAAAGTGAAAAAAGTTTGAGAAACATTGCACTAGAGCAAAGTTTTTCAACCATTTTTATCTCGTGTCACACTTGAACCTATAGTATAACTTCCATAGCATGCTTAAATTAGGATGATGGAAAAAGTGTGTATAGTTTTTATGATTTATTTATTAACAAAAACAAAACTATTTATTATAATTTGCAATAAAAAGATAATAATTAAAGTTCTTAAAACATTTATTATTTATTTTTATGTTTATTATAATTTAACATTTAATGAGATATCTGAGCTTGACATTTTTTTAGAATATCATCTTTGCAATGTCGAATTTTGGACAGGTATATTTCAAGGATTCTAACCATGATCAATTTTTTGCTTTTAATATTGTTTATTGCAGTTTTTATATTATTTTATATATTATGTATATATTTATTATTATAATGATTTACTTTTATAATCAATTTAAAGGAGTTTTGATATGTATACTTATTGGACTTTTTTCAATGAACTTTAAAAGTTTTCACAGCACACCTCTCATCAGACATTAGTTGAAAAATCTTTTGATCTAGAGACTCTGATATGCATTAAACTAAGGAATGAACTTTTTGTTTGGCATGTTTTACCAGTGTGCAATCAACAGCAAGGAGAGATGCTTGACTGATTTCTATATGAACTAAAAAATATAGCAAAGGATTGAAATTTTACTAATATTATGGCTGAATGGTATAAATCTGAATCAATTTGTGATACCTTTATCAATGGTATCACAGAATATAGTAAAGACTTTTATTTTTTTTACTAATTGTTCACCCAATACAAGGAACAGTGTAAGAGGATTAATGAATATGGATGATGTATATAAGAGGAGGAGGTAAGAATGGCATTTTTTGAGGTTATGTAAGAAATATGAGCCAATCCTAGATTTGAAGACATGAAAATTTTAGTGATCAGGGAAGCACCCTCTCAGGAGTCTGTTCCATTGTTCTTGGTAAAAAGCTGCCCGAATGGAACTTCCTTCTTACTAATAAAACATGAAGAGAATGTGGATTCTCTTAATTCCAGTGTACATGGCATGGTGTGTCGTCAGAACTATGACCATGGAAATAGTGATAGAATAGCAAGAAGTTTGCGATGTTTAATCAGTGAGACAGGGGTTGTAGAGTAGGAAATACTTCATCATTCACAAGGCTGTAAAGATGCTTCTGAACTCTATGAAAACTGAAAAGAGATCACTGGGCAGCCCCAGCCCAAATATGCTAGCAGTGCTCCGAGTCTACTTGAGAATAAAAGTCTTGATTTCAATATTGCCTTTGATCAAACTAGATCATTAGATGTTGTACTACAAAGCTCTAATATTGATAATGACTTATGGCCATATCATGTTGAAACACCAGTTCTTATATGATCACCAAAGTTAAGCAATGTTGAGCCTGTTCAGCACCTAGATGGGTGATGGCTTGGGAATACCAGGTGATGTAAGCTCGGATGTATGAGTGGTGTAATGGATAATAGAATTGGAACTCAGAGAGCCTAGTTTCAATTCCAGCCAAGTTTGTTATATTTACTTACAGGTAATTACTCTTGGAAAAGATATGAATCTACCTATTTTCCCTCCAGCTATGGGTTAATTAGTATTATTTGTATTAATAACTCATTATTATCTCCAAAAAATACTTACAATCTAAAAATATTTTCTGGCTGTAAATATTATCAATTGTAAAAAGACAATGTAGGGTTTTTAGAAAAAATGGTTTTTACTTATGGTCTGGTGCTCCTGCTATATTTAGAGATTCTGGATGAAATCCAAAGTAGAATCTGCAATTGTTACTGGTCCTGACCTGGCAACATCAGTCCCTTTCTCACCACCATAACATGGCTTCCCTGTGCCTTTTCTATAAATACTTTCATGGTAATTGTTCTGATGAACCTTCTGTTATGGTATCTAGACTTTATGAATTTAAGTGTAGTACTAGATTGGTGGCAAGGGCTTATCATTTTACAGTTGAAATGGCTAGATGTAAGTTCTATGTTAACAGTTTCTTCTATCACACTCTTCATTTGTGAAACACTCTTCTAGCTTCTTATGTCCCAGTCAACTTTGATCTTCAAAAATTTAAAGGCAATGTCAATCATTATCTTCTGTCTTCTTAATTCATGTACTTTTACTGTTCTCTCTCCTTAATAAATTTAAAGGCAGAAAAAAATAGTAACATAAAAAACTAGGCAAGATGCCTTAAACAAACAAAAACAGTTGACAAGAGTTTAACTCTAAATGTAGTGTATCCTTCACATCATTGGGTCAAGTCAATGAAGACAGACTTGAGGAAAATAGATGTAATTGAAAAGATTAAGCATTGAAAATGGGCAGCACCTGCAGTTTATGTAAAAAAAAATGTGTTTGTGCTGATTTTTTGACAGGGTTAAACAAATGTCTAGAATCATAACTATCCATTACCAAGTCAGATAAATGGTGAATTTGCAAATACACGTTAAAGAAGAATGTTTAGAGTTAATAACTATAAATACACACAAGGAATTTGTTCAACCAACTTCCTTTTGTTAAAAAACACTATATTTCCACTGGATACAATCAGATTTTGATTTTTAGTTGCTTATCTGGATAATATATTAATTAAAAGTGTATTAAGAAACAACTTATCAGGCATGTGAAAAGAATTTTTGAAAAAAATACAAGAGTACGGGTTCAAACTTGGTGAGAAAAAATGCAAATTGTTTTTGCTTAAAATCAAGTACCCAGGATAAGTCATTGACAAAAATAGTTATCAACCAAATCTGTTGAGGGAAGTGCAATTAAGAATATGTCTCCTCCAACAAACATTACTAGGTTACAAGTATATTTATGACTATCAAACTATGATCAAATCTAAATATGCAGAATTTGATAGTTCCACTGAACAGTTTGCAAAAAAAGATATAGATTGGACTGATAAGTGTTAGGTGTTTGAAGAAATCAAGAAAAATACTAACATGGTTTATCAAGATTGAAAAGTAAAAAAATTCTACATAAATATGATGACAGCCATGAAACTGTTGCACAACTTGATGGAGATTCAAACTGCATTAGCAATGATATTTGCAGTGAAAAAAAAAATTTCACAAATTTATATATGGAAGGAGTTTTCATTTACAAACAGACCACTGAAATCTATTAGCAATTCATGGTTCAAAAAAAGAATTCCTACACATACAGTGAACAGATTACAATGCTGGGGTACCACCATATTAAATTACAATTTCAGGGCGGAATACCATATGTCCAAAAATTTAGGACATGCTGATGGTTTATCAAGATTGATACCAAAAAAATACCGAGCCACTTGTGGACACTGTTATTGCAGCATTAAAAAGTAAAATAGAAATCAAAAATATTTTATGCAATGTAGTATGTGAACTACTAGTTACCCTGGAATAAGTAAAAGTAAAAGCAGAACAAGCCATATTTATTTCAAAAATAAAACAAATGTCTAAAAGAAAGTAAGATAGATGATTTTTAGAATGCAACCCAGACTTGAACACTAACTCGCTATGTGACAGAGTACTGATGTTTGCACAAAGAGTAGTAATACCTATCATATTACAGAAGCAAATATTAAATGAATTTTATAGTGGACATTCAGGAATTTCAAAGATGAAATCTCTTATAAGAAGCTATATATACTGGACCAAAATGGATCAAGACATTAAAAAATTAGTAAAAGCCTGCCATGAAATTACAACCTTGACCAAAGACCATGGTGAAGACTGCACATAGACGTTGCAGGTCCAATAAATGGATTACATTATCTTGTGATAGTGGATAGTTTTACTAAGTGGCCTGAAATTTATAAGCGCAAAAAAACTTCCACGGTTATAGTTAATTTTTTACATGAATTGTTTGCAAGATATGGCATTCCAGATGCCATAGTCTTGGATAACAGTACACAATTCACTGCTTATGAATTTAAAGAATTTTGTAAAATGTTCTAAATCGAACATGTTACTATCCTGCAGTATCACCTAAGGTCAAACGAATAAGCTGTACAGTTTCTGGAGAGATTTGAAAAAAAAAAAAACAAGTATTAAAATAGTGAGCAAAGAAGCACTACAAAAATTCTTGAGAGTACACCAGATAACACTGAATTCCAATACACTGACAGACATATCACTGGCAGAATTGATGTTTGCAAGAAAAATTAAATCGATATTCAACAAGTTGTTACCAGGTCAGAAAAGAATAAGAATAGATAACAAAAAGGACTGAAAATTTTTCAAAATTAGTGAAAAAGTTTTCTCAGAGAAAAAAATGGAAAAGAAATGTGGGAAGATGGCATAATAAAGTCACGAGTTGAAAAATGATATATATGGTAAAAGAAGAAATTGGGAGCACAAAAGGTATTGGAATCAGTTAAAGAAAAGGTTTACTGAAGAAAGGCCCACAAGAAAGAACTTATGCAAGTAATGTATGATATTTTTGATGTACCAACACCCCAAGAATTCATTGAATATACAAGTATGATTACCAGAAAAAGGAAATGTACAAAAGAAAGAAAAAAACTAGTGGTTGACTCAAAATGAAAAAAATGCAAAGTTTGTGGTGAACCCACCAGAAAGAGGAGGGGGTGAATATTAAAAAATAAAATATTTACTCGTGAAAAAATAAAAATCTCAAAAGTGTGGGTGTAGAGTAAATAAGACACTCCTGGTAACACAAATGAACTAGGCAAGTCGCCTTATATAAAGAACTCCAAATGAGTCAACAGAAGTCTGTTGGAGTCAGTAGAGGAGAATTTCAAATACGTCATGGTGAGTGCTTAAGTGAGACATAATATTATAACTGCTAGAAGTGAGTTATAACAGGGTGAAATGATTTAAAAAAAAAAAAAAAAAAAAAAAAAAAAAGGGATCAGCCAAATTTCTATCTATGAAATGGAGTTTCCAAAATCCAGCAAGTACAAAAATTGAAATATTTAGTACATGTTTTAACAGACAACGAAAAATGGGACATGGAAATCCGAAGATATCATTGGAATAATGAAAAAATCCTTTCAAAAGCTAAGCAAAGTATTATAAAACAGGAAAATTTTGTTAGAAACAAAGAAAAGATTGCTGAACTTATGTATCAGTTAACCTATGCTAGTGAATGCTGGATAATCTCTTCACAGATGAAGAAGAGACTTGAGGCAACAAAAATATGGTTCTACAGAAAGATACTGAGAATACCATATGTTGAACATGTATGCAATGACAAAGTTTTAGGCAAAATAAAAACAAAATGAACACTTAGGAGAGTGGATCTTTAATTTTTGTTCAGCTTTTGCCTTTACTGCTAAATTAAGCTTGTATGACAAAGTTTTAAGGAAAATGGAAGCAAAAAGGACACTTATATTTAGAATCAGGAGGAGAGAGTTGAAATTGTTAGGGTAAATAATGAGGAAAGAGGGTTTAGAGAATGTGACACTCACAGGACATATTGAAGATAAAACAGGAAAGCAGTGAATAACCTATTTAATGAGCTTGTATAAATGGTTGGCAGAACAGGGATTAAGAGAGATAGCAAAAAGACAAACAATGCTAAGAGTTATTAAAAATAGGAAACTGTGGAGACCCATAAGTCACCCACATCCTGAAGGGATACAGTAAATATAGTAAGAAGAAGTAAAAGTTATTTTGTAATTTCTAGAGTACATAATGAGGAAAGAAGGCTTGGAAAATTTAACACTCACATGTTGAAAGAGAGAGAGACAGAATAAAGCAGAGAATAACCTACGTAACGAGATTGGGTGAATGGTTGGCAGAACAGGGATTAGGAGAGATATCAAAAAGACAATCATTGCTCTATCCTTCACTTCATCCTTTCCTCCATCACTCCCCTATTTGATCTCGCTCCAACTCTCTGTAACCTCCTGAGTGCTCGTGGCTTCCCGCCTTGCTTAGAGTGAAATGCTTATAAAAAAAAGAAGAGCTACTAATGACAGGAAACTGTGGAGATCTATGGACCCACGTCCTGAAGGGATACAGCACATAGATTAAGAAGAAGTAAAAGTTATTTTGTAATTTCTAGCGTACATAATGAGGAAAGAAGGCTTGGAAAATTTAACACTCACATGTTGAAGGAGAGAGAGACAGAATAAAGCAGAGAATAACCTACGTAACGAGATTGGGTGAATGGTTGGCAGAACAGGGATTAAGAGAGATAGCAAAAAGACAAGCTAAAAAGGACAGGAAATTGTGGTGAGTCCTGATCGTCTATATCCTGAAGGGACATGGCACATAAAAGAAGAATATTTATCTGCACAATTTAGTACAAGTGTATCAGTAAATCTAAATATTAGACAAATTATCAACTTATCTTTCCTTTTCATCACTGGATTCAAACACATCTGTTAAACCTAAAAAAAAAAAAAAAAACACATGCCCTGTAGTAATGATTACCACCCAAGAAGTTGATGTCCAAAGAAGCTCATTGTTGGGAATATAAAA